GCTCTATGGGAGGTCGTGAGTTTCCCATCCGTGTTCCTTTCCCTGGAATGCTCTTCCCACAAGGATTTGCCGAGCTCTCTACTCATCCCCTTCAGGTCTGTGCCGCTCAAGTGTCGCTTTAACAGTAAGGCCATCTGCAGCCACCCACCTAACATTGCAGACCTCCCACTCCATCCTCTTTTGCGCCACTTTCTTCATCACTTATCATGACCATCCATTTTTATTAATTTATCTTTCTTTCTCCCCTCCTTCCTTCTTTCCTTCTCTCTCTCTCTCTCTCTCTCTCTCTCCTTTCTTTCTTCGTGAAATCTCACTGTGTCACCCACACTGGAGTGCAGTGGTGCAATCTCAGCTCACTGCAACCTCTGCCTCCCGGATTCAAGCAATTCTTCTGCCTCAGCCTCCTGAGTAGCTGGGATTACAGATGCATACTACCACACCTGGCCAATTTTTGTATTTGCAGTAGAGTTGGGGTTTTAACACGTTGGCAGGCTGATCTTGAACTCCCAACCTCAAGTGATCCTCCTGCCTCAGCCTCCTTAAGGGCTGAGATTACTAGCATGAGCCACCACATCTGGCCCGTTTTTATTAATTTATCTTATTTATTATCTGTCTCTGGCCACAAAAATATAACTCCACAAAGGCAGCGACTTATACCGGTTTTGTTCATTCCCGAATCCTCTGTGTCTAGAATATAAGTGCACATAGTAGGTACTGTAAATATCTTTTTCATCCTCATTTCACAGCTACAGAAACTGAGGTTCATAGAGGTAAAATAACCAGCTTTCACAGCACCCCTGAGTTTCCAATTCCAGACCTTCTGTGCCCTTAACCCTGCACTACACTGTGGCTGGAAAATGCTTATTGTAGCACTGTGTGTAATAGAAGCAGGCTGTAAACAGCTGCTTTTCCCATCAATGGGGAGTAGTTAAACAAATCACAATACACATATCCTGTAATAGCCGATAAAAGCAACCTATAAATGAATTAAGCAGATCTATATGGAAAATAGCCTCCCAAGTAGCTAGGGTTCAGGCACGCACCAGCTAATTTTTTGTATTTAGTAGAGACGGGGTTTCACCTTGTTGGTCGGGCTGGTCTTGAACTCCTGACTTCAGGTGATCCACCGCCTTGGCCTCCCAAAGTGCTGGGATTACAGGCGTGAGCCACTGTGCCTGGCCGCAACATTCTGATAAACTTTAATTCAAATAAGACTTTTAGGAAACCAGGGGCCCAGTGAGGTGGCTCATGCCTGTAATCCTAGCACTTTGGGAGGCTGAGGTGCAAAAATTGCTTGAGGCCAGGAATAGTGACACCCCCATTTCTACAAAAATTTAAAATAAAAAAAAAA